CCACCAGCAACAGTCTGCAGAAGGTGGACGTGCAGCTGATCCCGCAGGACTTGTGCAGCGAGGCCTACCGCTACCAGGTGACCCCCCGCATGCTGTGCGCCGGCTACCGCAGGGGCAAGAAGGATGCCTGCCAGGTGACTCCTGCGGGGTGGGCCAGGTCGGGGAGAGAGGGTGCTGCTCACGTCACCCAGGGCCTGGCCGTCCGCCCACAGCAGCCTGCTGCAGCCTCACGGCAAGGTGGGCTTGGCTGTCCCCACTTTATGGATGAGGAAACTGAGGCTCGGGAGGTTGAGAGACTTGCTCCAGGTTGCAGGCCCCAGATCAGAAGAGACCCCCACGGGGGCGGGGCTGAGGCCCAAGCCCAGCTCTGCTCCTGGCCCTCCGCGAGGCACTTTGCCCAAGTGAGGCAGCAGGGAGGACTAGAGGGAGCCCACAGAAGGCAGGCGGAGCTGGGCAGGGCGTGGGGACACACATCCACGCTTCCGCGAAAGCCAGGCCCTGCTGGAGGCCAGGCTGGGCTGGTTTGGGCCCCCTCCATTTATCGGTGGCTTCCAAAGGGGATGTGTCACTCAGAACATCCCCAGCAGTCGGGACCCTTGCCTGGAAGGGGATGCCTCTCCCCTGACGTGGTCCTGTCTCTTCCCCTCTTACAGGGTGACTCGGGCGGCCCGCTGGTGTGCAAGGAGCCCAGTGGCCGCTGGTTCCTGGCGGGGCTGGTCAGCTGGGGTCTGGGCTGTGGCCGGCCCAACTACTTTGGCGTCTACACCCGCATCACAGGTGTGATTGGCTGGATCCAGCAGGTGCTGACTTGAGAAGCTGCCCCCGCAGAGCAAGGGCCCCCACCTCCTGGACTCAGAGAGCCCAGGGCGCCCACCAGGCAGGGGAGCAAGTATTCTGCCGGTGGCAGGGCCCCGTGGGGACAGGAGGTGGTGTCTCTCCCCTCCCGCAACCTGTTGCCTGACATCTGCCTCAGTGAGGACACAAGTAGGGAGAAGGGCCATCAGCTGGTGGTCGACTTCCCCTGAGGGCCTGGGATGGTCACCAGGCCCGGCTGGGGGGGGGTGGGGGTTCGCGTCCAGCCTGTCCCCTCCTGATTCTCTCTTCTCCTTCCCCTTCCTCCGCTGCTGACTTTGGTGGGGAAGGGTTGAGCAGCAGTCATGTGGCTGCCGGGCCCCCCCGCCTGCCCCCGCCCCAGCGCAGAGGCTGCTGGGCCAGCATCCTCTCCAGACAGCAGATTCCAGCCTTTGAAGCCCTTGGCCTAACTTGAGGGGTGGGGGAGGAAGGTGCCCCCGCAGCAAGGGCCCTCAGAGCCCTAGAGACAGCCAAGTGGGCCAGCCGCCACTGCAGGCCAAAGGGTGGGGAGCCCCAGGTCCAGGGTCCTCCCACGCCTACCTGTTCCTCGGCCCTTCACCTGGAGGTGAGCTCAGCTGCCCTGTGGAATAAAGCTGTCTGACCCGAGGTCCTGTTGTGGGGATTGAGTGGGGCCCCGGGCACCAATCTCACGCCTTTGACCGAGCAGCCCCTGTTATCTGCTCAGCCTGTTGGCTAGGCGTCCGGAAGGCCAAGCGGGCGGGGGTCAGTGGGGGCAGCGGTGGCCGCCAAGGCAGCTGCCTAGGTAGGTCCCGGGAGCAACCCCAGGAAGGCAATGGTTTGGTGCCCCTCAGGTCAGAGTGAGGGCTGGGACAAGTGATGCGCTCCTTCTGGAAGCTTGGAAGGAAGCTGAGGGGCAGAGAGTCTCATGATCGCACCAGGGAGGGGTCAGGAGTGGAGCCCGGAGCGGAAGCCCCATCTCCTGATTCCCAGGCTGCCACTTCCCCTCCGGCACGGCACGGCCTCTGCATTCTGAGTCATTTATTCAGCGAGCGGCTCACAGGCTCCTACCACGTGCCAAGGGCCGCACTGGGGTCACAGAGCTGCACAGAACGCGGCTCCTCATCTCGGGAGGGGTGGGGATGCTGATCCAGGGTGAAGGGGCTTTGGGGTAGCCTGCAACTCGGGAAGGCTGCCTGGAGGAGGCTTGGGGTTCAAAGGTGGCCAAGGTGGGGAAGAGCATTCCAGGCAGGGGAACAGCATGTGCAAAGGCAACAGTCCCCAAAGTCAGTGGCCTGTTAAGGAGCAGTAAGTTGTTTTTAGTTGGAACAGAGGTTGGCAGGGGTGGTGGTGGGGTGGGCGGTAGGGCTAAAAAGGAATGCATGGGGAGGGGCAAACTGAGATTAGATGGCAAAGAGCTTGGAGTAGAGCTATGAATTGACCCTGGGCGCTCTGGGGAGCCGTGGAAGTCTCCAGAGCAGGGAAGTGACTGACACAGGACGGATTCCCATTTTAGAGCCACCACCGGCACCAGCCTGGAGGAAGTGGGAGGCAGGGAGGCCGGTAAGGAGGCCGCTGCGGAATTCCAGGGAGAAGAGGATGGGGCCTGGACAAGGGGGATGGACATAGGGTTGAAGGACCCTTACTGTCCTCCAGGTGCCTCAGTGGATGGCGTGACGTGAGGGAGGAGTCACCCAGGACCACTCCCACCCAGGGCACCTGGGGAGGGAAAAGCTCTGGGAAGGTGTCAGGAACTTGGGATGCTTCTGGGAGGCAGATGTCCAGGAGGCAGGCGGAAGCTTGAGAGAGGTTCGGAGGAGGGATTTTAGAGCTGCCCTGCAAGGAAGGTGGTCCAGGGAAGACGGAGGAGGTGGGGGAGACAGACTGCAGACCTGTGGGTCCGGAGTAGGAGGCTGAGGGGAACTGAGCGGGGTGGAGTCTTAGCAGCCAGGGCTGTGGCCTGAGTGGGAGTGGTCAGGGAGGCCTACGGGGCCGGGCCCTGGTGGAGGCCAGGAAGGGGGGTGTCAAGGGCGGACAAGTCTTTCTTGGAGCCTAGCTGGGAGGAGAAGGAAGAGGGGAGCCTTGGAGGGGGCCTAGTGTCAAGAGGGTTTTCAAAGGTAGACAGGGAACGGCCATCGCATCCATGTGTGGCGAGCACTCCATCCGCTGGGTCCTGCCTGTGGAGATGATAGAGCAGACGCTATGGGGGGGGGACACCTTTGGGGTGGGGGCAGGACTACCCCGGGTGGCCTCTCAGGGATCTCAGAGGGGCAGCAGAACACTGCCGGAGGGTGCTTTGCTAAAGTGCAAATTCATGGCCTCACCCCAGCCTTAATTAGTAGGAATTAGGGGGTAGGGGGTAATCTGTCCTTTTTTTTTTTTTTTTTTGCTGTACGCGGGCCTCTCTTTTATTAAAAAAATTTTTTTTTTCTTTCTTTCTTTCTACTTTTTCTCACTTTTATTCTGAGCTGTGTGGATGAAAGACTCCTTGGTGCCACAGCCAGGAGTCAGTGCTGTGCCTCTGAGGTGGGAGAGCCAAGTTCAGGACACTGGTCCACAAGAGACCCCCAAGCTCCACATGAAGTCAAATGCTGAATATCTCCCAGATATCTCCATCTCAACACCAACACCCAGCTTCACTCAACGACCAGTAAGCTACAGTGCTGGACACCCTATGCCAAACAACTAGTAAGACAGGACCACAACCCCACCCATTAGCAGAGAGGCTGCCTGGCCCGGGGCACGACCCCGTGTCCCCTGCATCGGCAGGCGGACTCTCAACCACTGCGCCACCAGGGAAGCCCTAATCTGTCCTTTTAACAAGGCTCCTGGTGACTCTTTTGCAAGCAAAGCTGGACACAGAAAGCGAGGTCAACTTCAGAGAGCCGAGTGGCCCCAGGGAGAGTGGTGAGGTACCCCCAGACTGCTGAGTGGGCTGGGGAGGGCTTCGGTCAAGGGGAGCACTGCTTTGCAGAGATGTCCCCCGGCAGCGCTGAACTGCTGGGGGGCAGGGCTGGGGAGCCAGGCAGACACTCCGTAGGACCCGGGAGGTGAAGGAACCGGCCAGGTGGGGTGGGGGTCCCGTCAGACTCTGAGAGAAGATGGAGGGGAGACTGGGGGTTGTACTTCCTAGGACTTGGGGCAGAGGGTGGGGGTGACCAGAAGGTATCACAGCAGGAAGCAGAGGGGACGTCCTGCTAGGTTCGGAGGGAGCTGAGGTGGCAGCGTGAAGCCAGGGAGGAGCACCTGACCTGAATGGCGAGGTGAGACTGGGAATTGGGACGTAGGGAGCCAGGCTTGGGAGGACCTGGTATTCCGATTCCCAGAGGCCCAATTCCCTACCCCTCAGCACCCCAGCTAATCTAGGTCTGCCCGGAGGCCGGAAGAGACCTGCATGACTCCAGGGGGCGGAGCCTTAGAAGTCACCTGGTCCACCCCGTCACTTTACTGTTGAGGAAACTGAGGCCCAGAGAGGGGAAGGTACTTTCCAAAGTCCACCCAGCAAGGCAGAGCTGGTACCCTCGTTGTCCGGCCACGGGACAGAGGATCCAACCGTGACGCTCATCCCCCCCAGCACACACGGGAGAGTGACAACAGGGCGGGGTCCCTGGGCTTTATGAAAAAGCCCCATTACCTCTGGGTTGTCTACAGCACCTTAAGTTTAGCCCCTGTCCCCAAACGTGGCCCAGAGAGAGAGGGAGGCAGCCGGGCTGGCCATTTCTTCAGGTTTTATTACACGGTGGTGTTGGACACGCTGGGAAGCAAGTATCCAGCTGGGGAGGCCACGAACGCAGGAGGGGCCCCTTGCTCAGCCCCTGCCACCCCAGACTCTCCCTTGGGCAGAGGGAGGAGTGTCCCCCTTTCCCTCGTCACCAGCTCCTGAGTGGCCCTGCTGCCCCTGCTGGACCCAT